TATATATATATATATATATGATTTTTTTTTAAAAACTTATTAAATGAATTTTTTTTTTTTTAACTTGTAATTTACTATTACTTCTTGTGTTAACTTGCGAATGAAATATTTACTTGGTTATAAGTTTTATACACAAGTAAAGTTTTCAACTCAAAAGTGAATTTTACTTGTAAGATTATTTTTATGTATAATTTTTAGCTTCTATGTAATTTTTTACTTAATAAGTGACATATACTTATAAGTTAGCATAGTCAATCAGTAATGACCTTTATGCTTTTAAGTGAATTTTTATCTATAATTTATTTTTTAGGTATGAGCAAATTTGCTTTACATAAATTTATCTTATAAGTGATTTACTTATAAGTAAATATTTAGGTTAATGTATTTTTTTGCTTATAAGTGATTTTCTTCTTCTTCTTTTTTAATTATGAGCAAAAATTTTAACTTAAATAAGAATTTTTTTTTTTTTTAAAAAAATATACCTTATGCATGAATATTTGTCTTATAACAAAATTTTCTCATATAAATAAATTTTTGTCTTGAGTGAATTTTTTGATCATAAGTCTTATTTTTAATTTATAACTTTTTACCTTTAAATGAATTTTATACTTGTAAATAAACTCAATATTTTATGAATTATTCATCACTTTCATTATAAGTAACAATTAATACGATCTAAAATGTAAACCCAATTCAATGGAAATTTGTATGTGTGGGTGTCTACCGGAAAATTATTTAACCTTATAAAAATAATTCGAGTATTTATCGATACCAATGAATGTTACTAAATCGATAAAGCTTGTATTTTTAGCGGGTTGAAGTTTATCTTCGACCATTTTTTACACCATATCAATCACGTTAATTGCATAATAGAGAAGTAACTAAAAGATAATGAGATACAAAGAGTGATATCATCAGAACACCCACCCCCGAGTATATGCTTCAACAGGAATCACACTATAATCTATTTATTTTTAGGGTTAACCATTTGAATTATACTTGTCGACATAAACCAACCTAATCCATAAATTTATTACAACTAAAAAGTATATTAGTAAATCATAAGAATGCAAAAATTTCAATGCAATTATTAGAAACATTTGAAAGTGTTATAGAAAAATCACAAGTAATGGGGTATATGAGTGTACGTAACTTGGTAGGAGAGGCATGGAATCATGGTGTTTGTAGCGTGTAATAATGAAGGGAATATTAAATTATAATTTGGGATAGCCCAAAAGGCGCAAGACAGAAACAGCCCTAAATTAAAAGGTTGTTTTTTTAGTTCTCTGCTGTGACAACTTCCAACGTTAGATGACCCATAATTGATATAAATGAGTTGAGTGAAAGTGAAGACTGTTAGAACTTGAGATATGTATTATCCGCTAAGTTGAATAGGACTTAATTGAGCTCCCATTTGGCCCCCATTTTGTAGAAATGAAAATAGGTGGAATAGTGTTTTTTTTTTTTAAATGAGTGGTTGAAAATGAAAGAAAAGTTTTTGGTTTACATGTAATATTATTTTATGGAAAATTGTTTGATTGAAAATAATAGAGAGAAAAATGAAATGTAATGGAATGAAAATTAATGGGGGCCAAACGGGGGCTTAATGGCGGATGAATTTGTTCAATTTGAACATCGATCGAGTGTATCTAAACCATATGCTTCACTGCTTGTATGAACCGTGGGATACTACATGTGATAGTCATGTGAGTCGATATGCATAGTGTATATTCACTGCTACGACTCTGAATGATTTGATTTATATAGTGAGTTCATATTAGTTCTAACTTTTTCCTTTTTGTTGGGCCAATAGTGGATGGCTTCATGAAGGTTAGGTAATTTGCTATTATGACTAGGGATGACAACAGTTCGGTTTCGGTTCGGTTTGGTCAAAACCATTATCGAACCGTCAAATTTTTTGCCATATCAAACCACGTAAATCTGTTCGATTTGTATCTTGGTTCGGTTAATAACCGCGAAAATAAATTATTTTTTATAAGTCCATCCGTCAAATTGATATAAAACAATTTATGAAAAGAGAGTGAATGAAAACAAAAACACAATAATCCAAACGAAAATGCAAACATTATCCCAAATTTTAATTGCAAATACAAATTTAACAAACAATATTTTGAATATAACAATAATAAACTTTTCGTTCATTCTTGATTCTTGTGCATTGTAGTTACTTGATTCATGCTTAATAATTCAAAAGTTTCAACCTTAACTCATATTTAATCTTCATTTTTCCTCACAATTCTTATTAGCATAGGTCAGCACTTAAAATTGATTTCTATATAGTAAATACGAAATGTAAGTAAAGAATATAACGATACTACCTAATTCAGAATGGTTTTAACTAATATTTAAATAAAAAAAATGTACATCTTTGTCAACTTCCTCCTCACTAAACCTTGTCATCCCTAATGAAAGAATGATTTTTTTAAACGGGTAATCGGTTCGGTTTCGGTTCGACAGCATAAATATTAGACCCGCACCGCCACCAACTGGTTCATTAAAATCAAACACCATATTCGCACCATTGTACCATCGGTTCGATTTTTTTTGCCTCATTCGGTTTGGTAAACCGCGATTTTCGATTTTAACGGTTAAAATTGTCATCCCTAATTATGACCCACTAATGTGAGATTAAGATTACATTTTGCTGATAGTGATTAAAATCAATTACTTATCAAAATTTGATACTTTGCAATTGAGATTTAGAATATTAACGCTATACTAAATTGTCAAATGCACACTCAGATTGGCTTCTTTAAAGTCTAATCCCTGTC